GTTTGGGAGGGAGCGAGCGAGGGTTTGGCCAGCACCGGCCGCGTTTTTTTTTTAAACGTTTTTATTTCACAAGCTCTGCTGCGAAATGTCATCGCAACGGCGACCGAGAACGCCGACTCATCGCGCTAAAACATTAACCCCTAAAAGGAGACGCGCACGATGCGCGTGGAGCGAAGGCGCTGAATGGAGACGGAGCGATTGGTGTGTGAATTTTTTTTTCCTTAAGACGTCGCCGGAGAACGATTGTCGGTGACCGTGGGCATCGAGGTGAGAGCAGGACAGAGCAAATATATACGGCACAATTTACCGTGCTACTTGTATTTATGTAGCGTCTTAATGTACCTTCGTCTAAATATGCAGTTACGGTTGTCGTCGGCTGTGGAGAAGAGGAAAGTCTTGAGCCCGGACCAGAAGAGGAGGGCGGGGAATCGACAGCACGGGCGGCTGCGTGGAAGGGAGTTTCAGACTGGAGGCAACAGAGGTGAATGAGCAACCTCCCGCTGAGCGAAGGTTGAATGGGGGCTTCGACAGAAAAAGCTTTGGTGGCTGGAGCCAACGGAGCGTAGAGGGTTGTAGTGGGATGAGGGGGGGGGGAGACAAAGGAGAGTGGAGGGGAGTAGAGTGAGATGAGAGGGTATAGGTGGCAGAATGCGTGCATGGGAGTGGAGTGAGATGAGAGGGTAGAGGTGGGAGAGTGCGTGCATGGGAGTGGAGTGAGATGAGAGGGCAGAGGTGGGAGAATGCGTGCATGGGAGTGGAGTGAGATGAGAGGGTAGAGGTGGGAGTGTGTGCGGGGGAGTGGAGTGAGATGAGAGGGCAGAGGTGGGAGAATGTGTGCAGGGGAGTGGAGCGAGGTGGGAGAGTGCGCAGGGGAGTGGGGCGAGATGAGAGCAGGGGCTAATGCGGGGAGCGTGAGCGGGGATTCGCAGAGGAATGGGGGGGAGCGCGCTTTACCCCAGAGAGCTTTCTGGTTGAGGCTAGGCGCTGACAAGCACGGCGTGTGCTAACGACCAGGCCCATGACTGCCCTCCCAGCTACAGAATTCGTACGGAAGGTTTTTTTTTGTTGTTTTGGTTCTGCCGAGTTCACCAAAGGTAAACGGCGACACGCTGCACGTTTCGGTGTGAAGGCCCCGTGGCATGTTCGTGATTTCTGCATTGAGCCCTTGGATTATAGACTGCGCGCGCATGTGTACGCGAGACGAGAACGTACGCATCCATTTGTTGTACAATTTATCACTCTGTGAGGTGGAGCGGTGGCGCAGTGGTTAGCGCGCCGCGCTGTGAACACCGAGATTGACTGAGCTACGGCAAGCTTCAGTCGCACTTATCGGCACGGTGAAGTATGGTCACGCAACGCCAATGGCCGACACGGGAGCGGTGAGGCCTTCGTCCTCCGCAGTTGGTTGACCAAAGGGGTTGTGAATTATGATAGTGAAATTGTATAACTCCACACAATAAATAACCGTATTTGTAAGTTTTGAATGCTGGAATTTGACGTCATGTGTGCCCTGCGGAAGAAACTTGGTTGCGAACTTAGTAAATCCGTCCAGAAGTAAGCCCGTTGCAGACGGAGCGTAAAACCTGGCTTCGTAACACAGTGGGGGGGGCTGCGGTGGAATTACACACGGACTCAAATCTGAATCCATATCGCCTCCTCTTGGGTAGGAAGTAATTTGATGAACTCTAGAGAGCTTGAACCCTCCCCCCCCCCCACACCTAGGAGTGAGGGAATGAGGGGGCAGGAGGGGGGAGGGGTGGTGGAGGAGAGCGTTCGCACACCCAAAAAAAACCTTGTGAAACATCTACAATTTCAACGGCGGCGGCGGCGGCGGCGTTGGAGATGCCGAGGCTATCAACGTGTTTGCGAGGTGCTCACAAAGGCCCCTCGCATTTTGGATTTCTAGGGATGCGACGCAGGCTTTACGTTTTTTGTTATATTATTATTTTTCCCTCCCCATTTCTTTATCGTGGAGCTGTAAGTCAAAACAAACAAAAACTGCTTGTGATGGCCATACGGGTCTGGAATTTGTAAAAAAAAAAAATTGGTTGTGGGGGGGAAAAGGAGTTGGTGGACAGAGAGAGAAAGAAAGAGAGGGGGAGGGGGAAAAAAAGGTGTTCCTAAAATGTGTCAATTGCAACAATGAAAAGGGTTGGGGAGGGTTCTTGTGCCAGGGATTGAGTTTCTGTCAAATATTCTCGCCAAGTATGTAAACATTTCCAGGCAAAGTTGAAGCTCCGAAGAAGTTTTTTTTTTCTGCCATCGGTCACAAAAAAAAAACCTCCTGGAGTCCCCCCGCGCGCAGTTCTTTCGAGACGACGTAACAAACCAAACGATTGGAAAGCAAAGGAAGTTGCCCCCCCCGCCTCCCCTCCTCTCTGAATATTTTAAGTATTTCTCGAGGTGGTACGTGCGCGGCCCCCCCCGGATAACCAAACACACGGCACTCCTTTTGCGCTAAGCCGGTTTTGCACAGAGTCGATTTGTTCGATTTTCGACGGGCACCCGTTTAAATTTCTCCAGGGAGTTGGCAAACGCATACCATCTGCCTGCAGAGTGGATATAAAATACCCCCGTGACATATTCTTTTGCATACGATCAAACCGTCCTGAATGTGCCCAAGCGCCGTCACATCTCCGAAGCTAAGTGGGGTTGAGCCTGGTTAGAAATTGGACGGGCGACTGTCTGGGAATATCACAGGGGTTTTTTTTTTTTAAATAGGATTGGGCCCCAGGAGATGTGGGAATACAGTACTGGAATGTTGAATCTACCCGTGCGGAGCTTTGCGCGTGTCACCCCCTCATCGTACGAGTTCTCCGATATTACTCTTTGGTTTTTTGCGGTAAAGTCACGTAGAAATAATAAAATTATGTAATAGCATACGACGTTTCGATTGCAACACAAGCAATCATCAGGTACAGAAGAGCTAAATTTAAGAGAGAAAGGAAACACATAACCGCAGATATATATGTTTGTATCGCTGTGTTGTTTCTGCCTGTGTTTGTGCCTTGTGTCTGCGACTGCCTCCACAGCCCCCTGTGTGACAACTCGTGCCCTCTACCCGCACCGTCCTTTGATATGTGCTCTCTTCATGCTAATAATTTTTTGTCCCATTGTCTCTGAAACCCAGTCCCACCTTCTCTGGCTATTTAAGGCGTCGGCACAGAGATGCGGCTTTACTTCTTTACTGTGTGCCCGCCTCTCCCCATATGTCTCTTTGCGGTCTGTATTCTCTCTTAAATTTCACACAACTTACAATTTAGCAATCTTTGAAATAGCGTAATCTACCAGACCATGCGTTCATTGCGTTTTAACCGACCGTCTGTGTTGCTTTATATAGTTTCCAAATTTTGCTAAACCCTGTTTGATTTAGTGTTGCTCCGTCTCTCTCTCTCTGTGTCCCCTGGTGTGTCTGTGTTAATTCCCTCTACTTAAGGTTTGTATATATATCTGCGGTTATGTGTTTCTTCTCTCTCTTAAATTTAGCTCTTCTGTACCTGATCACGATTGCTTGTGTTGCAATCGAAACGTCGTATGCTATTATATAATTTAATTTTTATCATTTCTACGTGACTTTACCGCAAAAAAACCAAAGAGTAATTCCTGCAGTCACGAAAGCAACCAATTAAGTTCTCCAATATTCTCTCTCAAGCCCCAAACACTCATTAAACGCAGTTGGTCAGAAACGTCCTGATGCCAGGAGCACCCTCCTAAAATATAAAAAAAACACGGCATTGCTGGCTAAAACACAAAAGGCATTATTATTTATTATAAGTGGAATGAATAAATCCACTTGTAATGTGTACCATTTTTGAAGCTGTACAGTCGACCCCAAAAAAAAGTGCTCTCCCTTGGTGTCTATGCTGCAGTCCACTGGTCACTCGGTTAATCTTAACAATTAGCAATTCCTCTTCAGGTCACGGAATCTCGTTTTTTTTGAGTGCCTGCCCCCTGCCACCTTCCATGCTGGGATTGAGACTGTTAGATTCACTGCATCGAATCTCCCAGCCAATGTCAACGCCGAGTGGCAAAAAATGTTCTACGTTGCCGTATAAGTTGGTGTGGGCTTTATTTTCCCATGCATTTCATTTCCAGTCACACTAATCGGCCGTTAACCCCGTTTTGTAAATGACCTACTGTACTGTTATTATTGTTTTATCGTTTCGCGGCACGTCCATAATTTTTCGACCGGCCAAGAAATCAAACGCCGGTCGAAGTGGCTTTATACGGCTAAGCTGCTTGTGTTGGAACGCTGCCCACGCTCGCATAGTAAATCATAAATAAATGAGCGTTTGCGTTTTTGTTGGCAAGACGTCTCGCCATTAGTTTGAACAGTAGAGTGTACGCCTTCCTTTTGTGAGGCTTAATAAATAAATAAGTACAAAAAGTTACTTAATTTGCTGCTTTTAAGAAGAAGAAGAAGAAAAAAACGCATTGCTTCCCGTCCTCCACCTCCCAGCTATACTGCACTTGTGCCCGCCGGTCATCTGATGAGACGGAAACAAATTAGGTGCGAAAATTGTTGCAGCTAGCAGTGCATCACCCTGTGCCCGGCGAACAGGCTATCAGGAGATAGTTCCATTAAAATAACCTCTCAATTCCCTTCAGTGGGCCTCGAGCCATGGCAAGGGACGGTGGCGCATCTGTTACATGCCCTGCAGAGTGCAGTGCTTGCATTCCACTACACAGCAACAGTTTGAAATCGTACTGGATTATGCGGGAAAATTAATTGAAATATCTTACTTAACATGATGACTTTCTTTTTGTGTGTGTGTGCAGTCGTCCGGACAACGTCATCTCGCTTACAATCTCGTGCTCGGTCTCTGCTTTTGTGTCGACGGCCACCCTGGTCCCCTTCTCGCTCGCCTTTTTTCTCAGCGCCGTCGGCGTCTTGGCACCGAGGCTGCTTTATAATATCGACTCTCTTCTCCTGCAATCCCTTTTGTGTTTGTGTTTCTTAATGCCATGCATTCTGTGGCCCCTTGTGTGTGTTTTTGCAGGAGGTCGGTCGTGATTCTTCTCTCAAGCTCTCGTTGTCGTCAAGCACGGTAAGAAAACAAAACACGCCCTTCCCCTCCTCTTGTGCGTCCGTTGACTTGGCCTGTTCGGTCGGCGTCTTTGCGGAAGACCGGCGCACGAACAAGCGTGGTTGACGAACGTGGGTTTTGTGAATTGTGCTCGTGCTCTTAAACGCAAGGGTCAGTGTGTGAGCTCAAGTGTCCCCTGATTGCGAACCATAGCTGCGCGAGGTGCGTTTGTCAGCGGGCGTACCTGTCTTCTTATTCCCCGCGCCTTTCCCCCCTTAGGGTTGTGCCGATAACCCCCCCCCCGTTCTCCGCTTCACGCTGGCCTCTAATATTCAATCGTTCAATTTCTCCCAATGGCTCCGATTAGTCCGTGAATAGCGACGGAATTGTGTAAATATAATTGTTGCAATCACCGTTTCCGCGCTGGGGGCGGCTAAGAAGGTTTGGCAGTGGAACATCGGTGAAGGTCATCCCACCGGCCAAAACTTTAGGCTTTATTTTCATGGGGCTCAACCTTCATACCTGCTTTGATGTTAAACATTGCTACGTTGAGATATAATGCCACGAGTCTGAGTCTGCATAGTTTCAAAATCCCTTCCTTGACTTCATAGCCACTGCTTGCGGTGATGCATGACTAATCCGGCGCTTTGAAGGCGAGGGTTGATGCATTGCGTAGATTTGTGAAATCCCAAACCCACTAATAAATCTGCGAGGTGGCCAGAAGATGGCAGCGGAGCAAGCGGGGTTGCAAACCCATCCGCCGGGATTTTTTTGCGTGCAGTCCGCTCGTAGGGTTTTCTCTGCATACTCCGGATTCCTCCCACAAAGTGATTGTTCGAAACCAAGGTGGTCGAACATCACAATGCGGGATCTGCCAGAAAAACTGTCTGAATAAATAAATGTAATTTTTATTATTGTCGCCAATGACCAAACCCAAACCCGGAATGCTCCCCGCTGTCCTCCAGATTTCCTGAAGCTAAGCAGGATTTTTGGGCCTGGATAGCTCTTGGATGGGTGACCACCGCACAACGATTATTGTCGTAGGCAGTCACGGGGCGGCACAGGACAGCGCGGCAAGCTCCGTTGTACTGTACTGTGCTGCCACATCTACGCTACCCACCTTCAAGCAGCACTGAAGTACGGTCGAAAGTCCCCACAATTTACGCAACATGGAGAGGCCCTCATCGTCCCGCAGAAAATTGAACAAAAAGGGCCATGCATGCGAAATATTATCATCCAGTATTGTATATCGTTCAAAACATCGTTAATGTTAACAGCAGCCTTTACTATTCCTTTATTACTTCTCCAGTGGATATTGCCTCTTGACCTGTTGCCTCGGAGCCTCCGAGCAATAAGAGACTCTGTAAATTCCGAGCGAGAATCGATCTGCGTGGGCACGGCGGGGTGGGGGGGTGGGGGCGATGTAAAGCGCACGGCCCTTTAACGCCCCGTCGGAAATCTAAAGTGATAAATAAGGTCAGCGCGACTCGTTAGCGTTCGTCGAAAGCGAGAGACTCCGCTTACAAAAGGGCCCCGATTTGCACGAGCAAACGAGCTAGCGCATGCGCGAGCAGGGGGTGGGCTGTTTAATTCACAAGCGGACTCGCGCGCGCGCGGGGGGTGGCGGTCGTTGCTGCGATGGACTTGCGTCTTGATGCGCCACACCTCCGCCCCATGTCACGGCACGCTCTCATTCGCTCTTCGCCCGATTTGATTTATTGCTTTCGAAAAGTGCCCCCCCCCCCACCACCACCCCCCGTTCAGAATGTTCGTCAAGCCGACGAGGTGATGAATAAATTACGGTCGTGAAAAAACTAACTAACTAGATTGCTCCGCCGAACGTTAACCATTGCTGCCATCAGAGTTTTCTTCTTGAATGGCACGTGTGGCGTTTGGGAATATGAGCTCTCAACATCAAATTAGGGACACTGGCATTTCGCTTGATGAGTGACATGTATATCAGAATAAGAATATTTATTTATACTGGAGGAATCCAATGAGGTACGAAGCTCTTTTCCACAGATGTCCAGTAAATAGCATGGGATGTAGATAATAAGTGCTAATTTGTCACGCACACAATTTTCACTTGCTCGAAGGCAGCGACCCTGAGATCATAGTCTTTATTCATATTCTTAGCTCTTTCGGTAAAGTCACGTTGAAAGGAAACAATAAAATAATAAAATATATACAAAACAATAAAAATGCTCACGATGTTTTGACCATAACATAAACGGTCGTCATCAGGTGTGAGAAAAAACAACGGCAAGAAACATTTGAAAAAAGTGTTTTTTCACACACCTGATGACGACCGTTTGTGTTATGGTCGAAACGTCGTGATAATTTTTTTATTGTTTTATATATATTTTATTATTTTATTGTTTCCCTTCAACGTGACTTTACCGAAAGAGCTAAGAATATGAATTACTGCAGTCACGAAAGCTTTAAATCATAGTCTTTACCATTATCATCAGCCATGATCTGTCCAATGCTGGATAAGGCCGTTGCCCACCTCTCACGTGCTCACGATGTGATCGAGATGAAGAATGAAGTGGCAGCCCAGCGCGGGCGCCTGCCGCGCGCGATAGGGGATGGAGCGGTGAAATGAGCTCACGTGCTGGAGCTAGACCGGATTGTTGCGTGGCGAGACTGCGAGAGATGGTGACGGCTTTGGGGGGGGGGGGGGGGGGGGGGGGGAGGGGAGGCCTTCATCAAGCGGTGGATAGATCATGGCTGACGGTGAATCATTATGATAAGGCCGCTGCTGTGGTATGCGGGCGATTTCTACCACCCCTGCACTCATCCTCGATCCAGCTTAGCCAGCCCTTTTTGCACGGTGTGCGCACGCACGCCCAGAGACGCGCTTGTTCACGAACTCGGATGCGTGCGCGCGCACAGACACCAGCGAGCTGCCGCATTCCGAATTCAGCCCGCGCGCCCCCTTCGGCTGCCCCCTCTCCTGTTTATCGACTCGCTGCAGCCCACCGCAATTTCATGACCAAACAGTGAGGACGGTGGCTGTTTGCTGTTGCCGTCCTTTCCGTTCCTCCGCCACGTCCCGGACGCCCATCCCCAGTGGAGACCCACACACAACCTCTTAAATTTCTCATTTTCCCCTCCTTATCCCTCTGTCGATCGCTCTGCAGCTCGATCTCTCTACTTATCTCTCCTTCCTTCCCCTAGTACCTTCTCCCCGTTTTATCCTTCTTACTTTCCGTCACGCCCGTCACGTTCTGTGCCCCTTTTCGTGATCTCCGCTCGAGCAGGCGTGGAGTTAACTTGCTGTCCACCACCTCGTTTGACAGATGGTCTGCTGCTGTTGTTGTTTGAAAACGTTGTTTGCTTCAGTCCCCCCGACACCAGTCCAGGTTCGAGAATTGCACCATCTCTTCTGCATGTCCTGACAGCGGCTACGAATGGTCTGCATAGTCGCTTCTCTACCCTAATGTCGTTACAATCCCATTTCTTTTCTGCAAACAATTGTATAAAAATAAATCAATTTCTATACGGGCATGACCCCCTCCCCCCTCCGCTGTGGTCACATGTGCTGCATGTTGAGATGTGGTCACGGTCAGATGCTGTAGTCAAGTCCAAATTGTATTATATTGTAAAACCCTTCCGCTGTGGACTAGATCAATCGAATTTCACCTTATCTGATCAGATCTCGCAAGCTAAGCAGGACCGAGCCAGGGCGGTGTTTGGATGACCAAGGTGCATAAAACAGGTACAGTGACGCTGCCTTGGCAGCAGAGGGCAGTACAGAAAAATACATTGTTACACTGTATTGTGCTCCTCGCCTTTGCCAACCCGCACTGATCAGCATTGGGAAGTATGGTCAAACGACTCCCACAGCACGCAAGACATCTGGGATTGACAAAAATGGCTGTGCGTGTACGAAACATCCCTTCAACGTACCTCCAATCCCCTCCGCTAGTGTCTTATCAAGGCCCCTCCTCTCAGTCATAGTCTGCCCTTGTCTTTGTCTCTCCAAAGCTCTGTTTCTCCCATGCTCTCTGCCCTTGTCTCTCTGTCTCTCCCATATTCTGTCTCCCCACGCTGTCTGCCCATGTCTGTCTCTCCCGTACTCTGCACGTATCTTTATATCTCTTTCATGCTCATGTCTCTCTCGCTATTCCCCCATGCTCTCTGCTCGCGTTTCTGTCCCTCCCATGCTCCCTGCCCTCGTCTGTCTCTTGCATGCCCTGTGCCGCCTGAGAGTGTCTATCTCTCTCCCATGCTGTCATGCACGTAGAATGCGAATGCTCCTTCGCATATGTGACCGCTCCCTTTTAGTTCACCTTCTATATTAATGCTTTCCCCCCCCTCCCTGTGTTTACTCGAGCGCTCATAAATCTCGTCGTGACAAGTGGCATCCCACGCCAGCGCTGAAGAATGCGTGTTGAATCAATTATTCTGCTCTCCGCTCCGGCCCCAAAAAAATTTTTTTAGAGCTAATCTGGAGAGAGAGAGAAAAAAAGGTACCGCCAGTCACACATTTCGTGGAAATCAAGAAAGGTATGCAAAATCCCAGCCGGGTGCCGAAATACACATGAATCATCTGTTTAATAGGCCCATTAAAGTGTCTGGGGAGGGAGGGGGGCAAAAAGGGAGTGTATAAAAATGTTCGTAATGCAGCTTTTCATATTTGGGTTTTTAAAGAAACTGATTGACTCATAAATCAAACTATACAATATATATCTGTACGTCCAAGAGATAACGCACGCAAGCAGCCCAGGGGGACGCTCGCCCCGGTGGAACGGATAGCGCCCCTGGACCCCGCAATCGCGAGGTCTCCGGTTTGACTCGACCCCCTGACGCAGCCGTCCTTTAAAGTAAATGGGCAGGTTTCATAACCCCCCTCCCCACTGTCCACCGGCAGTATAGTTCACCACTACTGCGGCTAGTCTTATCAGGTTGTTGTTCGTGTGTGGTGGGGTAAAGTGTGGGTACTCCCACCTCTTCCAAAATGTCTGGCCAGCGTGGAAGGGGGTAGCTTAATTATCTTCGAGAGATGCACTGCAGAG